GTCACTCATTGGTTACCCCAGCAAATTCTTACGATTCCCTATGTGCTAGCACTGTTCTTGCCGCTGGAGGTCCAGAGGAAAGTAAGGTAAAAAGGATCCTGGTTTTTGGAGGAAAAGAGATGATTTCCGACATCGATAAACACCAAGTAAATAGGCTGGGCGCGGTGGCTCACGCCTGTTATCCCAGCCCTTTGGGAAGCCGAGGCCGGTGGATCACCTGAGGTCAGAAGTTCGAGACCAGCCTGGCCAACACGGCAAAACCCTGTCTCTACTAAAAATACAAAAATTAGCCAGGCGTGGTGGCACATACCTGTAGTCCCAGCTACTTGGGAAGCTGAGGCAGGAGAATCGCTTGAACCCGGGAGGCAGAGGTTGCAGCGAACCGAGATTGCACCACTGCACTCCAGCCTGGGTGACAGTGCAAGACTCCATCTCAAAAACAAACAAGCAAACAAAAAAACACCAAGAAAATAAAATAGGGTTATAGGAGAGAAAGTGGCTGTGGTGGTGAGGGGAGCTTCCCTTAGAATGGTTGGACAAAGATGCCTGGAAACATTTGAGCTGAGACCCAGAAAGAAGCCAGCTGTGAAAAGCATATGTACAGATATGTTGAGAGAGAGAACATGTTATAGGTATTGGCTGGTTTTTTTCTGCCTTCCCTCCCTTTACTAGAGTATTATTCCAGAGGCTGTGTCTTGTTCCTGCTATGTCTCCCAGAGTCTAGAGCAGTAGAAGACACATAGTAGGTGCTCAATAAATGTTTCATGAGTGAGCGAGCCAGTGAGTGAACAAGGCAGAGGTGACATGTCGCCCCTGGGCTTTCTTTGTAGAGATATCGCCATGATGGACGAACAGGGCTTCTGCAAGATTGTGGGCCGCTCTAAGGATATGATCATCCGGGGCGGCGAGAACATCTACCCCGCGGAGCTCGAGGACTTCTTTTACACACACCCGAAGGTGCAGGAAGTGCAGGTGAGGCACCCGGCCCAGGGGAGTCCCCAGAAACAGGGAACACACATGAACACGGTGATGTCTGATATTTTTCCCTGGCCCTGGAAGGTGGTGGGAGTGAAGGATGATCGGATGGGGGAAGAGATTTGTGCCTGCATTCGGCTGAAGAACGGGGAGAAGACCACGCCGGAGGAGATCAAAGCTTTCTGCAAAGGGAAGGTGGGAGCCTCCTCCCAATCAAGCTGATGCTGCTGGGTTCTTTGCCCATCCCCTCCTCTACCAACCAGCCCGGGGTGGGGATTGCTCCTCCCTTAACGAGGCTGACTCCCAGCCAGGCGAGCCCTGGTCCCCTTCCCGCAGCCCTGTTAGCTTGCCCAGCCTCATGCCCGCCCTCCCTGCCTCTGGTCCGCAGATCTCTCACTTCAAGATTCCGCGCTACATCGTGTTTGTCACAGACTACCCCCTCACCATTTCAGGAAAGGTGTGTAAGGTGGAGGAGACTGGGAAGGGCAGCCTGGGTTCTGGGGCCCCACGGGGCCCCACCTCTGTTTCCTTCAGCAGTGGGTGTGGAGAGGCTGGCAGTAGGGTGACCAAGTCACCTAATTCTGGTTTGCCTCGGGACTTGTCCTGTTTTGGCACTAAGACCGGAGAAGCCCCTCAGTCTTGGGCAACCCAAGATAGCTAGTCACCCTAACTCCTTTTCCTTTCTTCTAGGTCCAGAAATTCAAACTTCGAGAGCAGATGGAGCGACATCTAAATCTGTGAAGAAAGATGGAGGAAGGATCCACCCCAGCCCTCCTCCTGTCCATCCCCCACACTCCCCTGTCTGTCCTTGTGATTTAGCATAAAGAGCTTCTGTTTTCTTTGGCCTCTTGCTGGTGGGCTCTCTTGGCAGCTACTATGGGATGGAGAAGAGAAGACACTGAAGAGAAACTAGCACTTTCAGACCTCCTATTCCTTGTCGTCGAGAGTACAGAGCACCTTGATGTGGTTTATCTACTTAATTTAACCCTCACCTTTGGTATTCCTTTGAGATACCAATCCTTTTTTTTTTCTTTAATTTGAGACCAAGTCTTGCTCTGGAGTGTAGTAGTGTGCTGTCAGCTCACTGAAACCTCTGTCTCCCAGATTCAAGTGATTCTCCTGCCACAGCCTCCCAAGTAGCTAGGATTACAGGTATCCACCACCACCAACTAATTTTTGTATATTTAGTAGAGGTGAGGTTTCACCATGTTGGCCAGGCTGGTTTCAAACTCCTGACCTCAAGCGATCCACCTGCCTCAGCCTCCCAAAGTGCTGGGATTACAGACGTGGGCACCGCATCCGGGCCTCAGTTTTTTATTTTTAAGCTACTCTAATTTAATTTTTCTTCACACTGTTGCCAGATTAACAAGAAGTATTCTTGTTTTATGTAGCAGCTTGTTGGAGATATACTCACATACTATCCAATTCATACCCCCACCCCTGTTTTTTAGAGACAGGATCTCATTCTGTCACCTGTGCTGGAGGGCAGTGACATGATCATAGCTTAATGCAGCCTCGAACTCCTGGGCTCAAGCAATCCTCCCACCTCAGCCCCCTGAGTAGGTGGGACTGTAGGAATGTGCCACCGTGTCCAACTAATTTTTAAACATTTTTTTCATAGAGACAGGATCTTGCTATGTTGCCCAAGCTGCTCTAGAACTCCTGGGCTCAAGCAATCCTCCTGCCTCAGTCTCTCAAAGTGATGGGACAATCCACCATTTAAAGTGTAGAATTCAGTGGTCTTTAGTATATTCACAAATAAATATGTGTAACTATGACCACAGTCAATTTTAAATATTGTCATCACCTAAGAAAGAAACCCCATACCCTTTTACTACTATCTCCCATCCCCCAAGAAATAAAAACAGCTGAGTTCCAAAAGGCACATAGGTTCCCAGTTCACAGGAATGGCAACTTTGGCCTACCTGCACCCTTACCTCCCAGCGTACCTGCCTGCGGCAGCAGCCTCCTCTTCACTTTTTAAGATACGAACATAGGTTTAAGGCAGTTTCAGTACCAGGCTCTATGCTAGGTACTTTCACTTAATTTTCTCTCCAAATCTTCCCAACAACCCTAACAAGTAGCCATTGGTCCCACTTCACGAATGACTCAACAGAAACTCAGGGAGATTCAGTATCTTCCTCAAGGTCGCACAGCTGAAACAGAACCTAGTTGTCTGTCTAAGCAGGTTCACCGTGCACTGGTTACCAACTTTTCTGAGTCCAGTGAAGCAAACACCCACAAGTTCCAGCGAGGCAAACACAATGACGTGGGGCGGGTTTATTACCTACAGGTAGGCAGTCAGCGACAACAGAAGGCTGGGATTCATTTGGAGCTGGACCCCCAAGGCTCAGGAACGCTGCTGAGGCAGATGGAGGATGGACTCTCATCTGTGCATGCCCGACTTGTTTTTTGTTGTTGTTGTTTGTTTTGAGATGAAGTCTCGCTCTGCTGCCCAGGCTTGAATGCAGTAGTGTGAACCCTGGGGTTCAAGCAACTTTCCTGCCTCAGCCTCCCTAGTAGCTGGGATTACAGGCATGCACTACCAAGTTCGGCTAATTTTTTTTAATTTAAAATTTTTTTTTTTATTTTTAGTAGAGACAGGGTTTCGCCATGTTGGCCAGGCTGGTCTCAAACTTCTGACCTCAGGTGGTCCACCTGCCTCAGCCTCCCCAAATGCTGGGATAACAGGCATGAGCCACCGCTCTTGGCCAGCCTGACTTGTACTGAAGCTGAGGGACCCCAGAAACCAGCTGCCCTGGGTTTTACACCCTGGGCCCATGTGACATGTTGGGCTGAAGTGCTGAAGGACATCCTTTTTCTAGGGGGACTGGAACAGAGCCTGGCCGTGCCGGCCAGTCCCTCCTTCCCTCAGGATGTTGCATTTTCTGCACACTACAGAGTTATTATTATTATTATTTTTTTGAGATGGAGTCTCGCTCTGTCGCCCAGGATGGAGTGCAGTGGCACAATCTCTGCTGACTGCAGCCTCCACCTCCAGGTTCAAATGATTCTTCCTGCTCAGCCTCCCATGTAGCTGGGATTACAGGTGTCCTGTAGCCACGCCTGGCTAATTATTTTATTTTTAGTAGAGACAGGGTTTCACCATGTTGCCCAGGGTGGTCTAGAACGTCTGATCTCAAGTGATCTGCCTGCCTCAGCCTCCCAAAGTGCTGGGGTTACAGGCATCTACAGTTATTCTTGAGAATTATAAGCAAAAAAGGAGGGGAGAACCAGGTCAGTTCAAGGCCACTGGGAGAACTGTCCTGCACCACCTGACTCTGAAGCCCATGATGTTTCTGCTTTGTGGGACAGTTCTTCAGATGCCTGCTTCCCCAAGCCTTCCCGGGCGCTGTCTCTCCCGCACACGCCATCTGACTGTCCTCCCAGTATGTACACCTCCCGATGCTTGGGTTGGCCTGACCCACAGCAGTCTACTCTCCTGGCCAAGCCAATTGCCCCTGGGATTTTCTGCTCCTCCAAGATCCAGCGCATTGCCCTGGTGGTGGCTCATGCCTGTAATCCTAGCTACTTTGGATCCTGAGGCAGGAGGATCGCTTGAGGCTAGGAGTTCAAGACCTCCCTCCCTTCCCTCAAATATTTTTAAATGAAATTAAAAGAAAGATCCAGCCCAAGTGCCTCTTCTCCCCCACTGATTCCCACACTCTTGTAACAGATGACCTCACAACAGCACTGAGCGCACGGCTCTGGTGTCCAGCAGGCACGGTATTAATACGCCTTGCCTCTCTCCTGTCAGACTGCAACCTGGCTTTATGCACCTGGATGTCCTCAGCACGCAGTTCTGGGGCAGGCACATAAAATGTCAAGGAACTGACTGAACGAACTAAGAGCTCCTGGATGGGTCCGGGAACTCGCCCGGGCACAGGGTGCCAAAAGGCAGGCAAGCCCGTCCCGCGGCCTGGGGAAGAACCGACAGGCGGCCGCGGTGAGCGCCCGGGCGCCCGGCAGGTGGCGCCGCATCCCCAGGCCGGGCCCTCTCGGCGCGCGGTCACGCAGCCGCTCTTCCTTCCGCCGCGGCGGCCCCCGGGTGCGGCTCCGCGCTCACCGTGGGCCCTGCGCGAGTCTCCGGCTCGGGTCCCTGCCCCGCGCCGCGCTGGGCGCCATGGCGCTCCCGGGAGCCCGGGCCCGGGCCTGGGGCTGGGCGGCAGCAGCCAGAGCCGCCCAGAGGCGCCGCCGCATGGAGGGAGCGGGAGGGTCCCCGAGTCCTGAGCCTGGGGGCCCGCGCGCGGCGCTTTACGTACACGTGAGTAGGGGGCGGGGGACGGGGCGGAGCCCGAGGTGTGTGGCCGCAGCCTTGACCGTGACTGTGGAGCCGCTTTACGCACACGTGAGTGGGGGGCGGGGGACGGGGCGAAGCCCGCGGTGTGTGGCCGCAGCCTTGACCGTGACTGTGGCGCCGCTTTACGCACACGTGAGTGGGGGGCGGGGCGGAGCCCGCGGTGTGTGGCAGTAGCTGTGGCCGTGACCATGGCAGTCCAAAACCCAGTTGGCGGCTTGTCACTCTATGAACTCGCCTGCTGTGTTTCCGTGCCCCCGTATGAGGTCTGGGATGGGACCCAGAGCCCTGGCAGGGAAAAGCCTTGGTCCGGAAACCTGAAGCCTCTGCTACTCACCAGCTCGGTGACTTTGACCAAGTGGTTCAAATTTCCTAACAGTTTTTCTCTTAGCAAGACAAACTTTTTGTACAGAGCAATGGTCTGATTCGGTAGCTGGGAAAGACTCATAGGAAAATTGTATGGAAATTCTATGACCCCAGAAACAGCTTGGGTTGAGTTCCTTCCTGACGTCTGCTGGTTGGAAGAGGCAGCATAACAAAGTAGTGAGCCTCAGTTTTCTCACATTGAAGTGCTTATAATAACCCCACTGCGACCTGTCTTGGGGAGTTGTGTGGCTTAGATGTCCTGCCTTCTGTGGAAGGACCTTGGAATGGGGGTGGGGATGGGGATGTGTGCGACTGAACCCTGGAAGTGGCCTGGGCAGCTCGGAATCTCCTCTCACCTCACACGTGCACTCACTGCCCCCAGTGGCCTTACTGCGAGAAGCGCTGCAGTTACTGCAACTTCAACAAGTACATCCCTCAAGGCCTGGAGGAGGCTGCCATGCAGAAGTGTCTGGTGACCGAAGCGCAGACACTGCTGCGGCTCAGCGGGGTGCAACGGTGGGTAGTGGGGGCTGCAGGCCGCGTTTCGTGAATTATTTGGAGGAGTGGTGGGGGATAGGTGCAGGCATCCTAGAGGGCTTCCCCAGGTTTCCTTTCTCCATCCTCTTTCCCCAGCGTGGAGTCTGTGTTCTTTGGTGGGGGGACCCCCAGTCTAGCCAGTCCCCACACAGTGGCTGCTGTCCTGGACGCTGTGGCACAGACAGCCCACCTGCCTGCAGACTCGGAAGTCACATTGGAGGCTAATCCCACTTCAGCTCCAGCCTCCAGGCTGGCGGAGTTCGGGGCAGCAGGGGTCAACAGGTTGTCCATAGGCCTCCAGGTAACCCATGGCACCCACCCCATCCCAGTGCACCTCACCCTTCAGTGCTCTCTCACCTTTGGTCACATTCCTTCATTCAGCATTGATTGAGCTCCTTCTGGATGCCAGGGACACTGTAGGGCCTGGTGTAACACTTTTGTAACTCCTTGTCTGCTGCTGTCATAGACCACAAACTTCGTGAGAAAGGGATCAGACGTGGCTTTTTCTATTTCAAGCACCCACCATAGTGCCTGACATGTAGTAGGTGCTCAAAAAGAATTTGCCACATGACTGGAGACACGGGGGAAGCAGACATGTAGCCAGATCATTGCAGCATGGTGAATGTCGCCTGTAAAGGGGGTCTCTGTAAAAGGCTTTCAGAGTACAGCCTGAAGGGAGCTCAGTCTGATGAAATCACTGAAACTTCCTGGAGGAGGTAATGTTTGAATGAAGAGGAAGAGTTCCCCAGGTAGGGGCACATGGGAGGAAATGACACAGGACGTGGAAGAGCCTGGCATGTTTTAGGGGAGCTGTGAGTCATTCCTTGTGACTGGAGAGGCTGGAGACAAGGCTTCAAGGTAGAGTCGAAAACCTTTGGTGCCTACTAAGAAGTTTGGGCTCTTTCCTAGTAGTGATAGGGAGCCATTGAAGGTTTTTAAGTAGGGAGAAACCTATTCCTCTCAGGTTGACCTCTGATATTTCCATAGGACTTCCAGGTTGTGGGCTTTGTTCTGGTGGGATATACTGACAGAAACACATCATTTCTAAGATATACTTACCCCAAAATGCATATCTTGAATCTGATTGTGAGGAAACATCAGGTAATCCTAAATTAAGAGATGTTTAAAAAATTATTGTGGTAAGAACAGACAGAATGAGATCTACCCACTTAACAGATTTTTAAATGTACAGCAGTGTTACCTTTAAACAGTGTTGTGCAGCCGATCTCTAGAAATTCTTCATTTTAAAAAACAACTGGCTTGAATTCTTCAAAAATGTCAATGTCATGAGAGACAAAGAAAGGCTGGGAATCTAAAGAAGACAGGAGACTGCTGACTGCAAAATGTGGGCCCTGACTGGGGAGGAAGGGAGAAATTACTACAGTAGGTGTTATTGGGACAATCAGCCAAATTTGAATATGACTATGGATTACGTAATGGTATTGTGTCAATGTTGCATTTCCTAAACTCTGTAATTGGATTGTGGTTATGTAAGAGAGTATCCTTGTTCTTAGGAAATACTCACTTAAGTATTTAGAGGTTAGGGAGTATAACATCTATAACTGCTATTCAATATAGTGGCCACTATCCACAGACTAGTGAACATTTGCAATGTGGTAAATTAATTTTAATTCAGTTAAATTTAAATAATCACATGCAGGTACTACCTATCATATTGGACAGTACAGCTATAGAGCATTTCCACCATTGTAGAAAGTTCTTTTGGACAATGATGGTTTATACCTTACTGCTAAATGACTCAGCATAATAGCATGTATGTTTAAAGAGACACAAATCTGAACAAATATTGGTGAATCTAGATGAAAGTGTTTTTTGTGATTTTCTTTCAAGTTTTCTGTAGGCTAGAATTATTTAAAAATGAAAAGTAGGCCAGGCGTGGTGGCTCATGCCTGTAATCCCAGCACTTTGTAAGGTCAAGGTGGATGGATCACCCGAAGTCTGGAGTTTGAGACCAGCCTGGCCAACATAGCGAAACCCCATCTCTACTAAAAATACAAAAAATTAGCCAGGCATGGTGGCAGGCATCTGTAATCCCTGTCTCACCCAGCTACTCGGGAGGCTGAGGCAGGAGCATCGCTTGAACCCAGGGGGCAGAGGTTGCAGCAAGCCAAGATTGTGCCACTGCACTCCAGCCTGGGCAAGAGCAAAACTCCATCTAAAGGAAAAAAAAAAAAAAGTAAAGTAAAGACTGTTGGATTTGGAGTCAGACAGCCCTAAATTCCAGGTCGAACTTTGCAACTGTATGGCCTTGGGCAAGTTACTTAACACCTCTGAACCTCAGTTTTCTCATCTGTAAAATGGAACTGATATTGGAGGGTTACAAAGATTAAACACTGCATAAACGTGCTTGGCACATAGCGAACCTTCCCTGAACAGCAGTTCTTGGGCCAGCTTGACTTTCCACCTCCTGCCTTCCAGCTGCCTGCCACATGCTGTGTTCTCCCTGTGTCTGTGTCTACAATGGGGTGGAGGGTTCTTGTCTGTTTCTGAGCTGCGGGTATGCTTATACCCACCCTCTTTTCCCAGTCCCTAGATGACACTGAGCTCCGGCTGCTGGGACGGACGCACTCAGCCAGCGATGCTCTGCGAACGCTGGCAGAGGCCAGGTGCCTCTTTCCCGGGCGCGTGTCCGTGGACTTGATGCTGGGGCTGCCAGCCCAGCAGGTGGGACCGTGGCTTGGGCAGCTGCAGGAACTGCTGCACCACTGTGACGACCACCTCTCCCTCTACCAGCTGTCCCTGGAGCGGGGCACCGCCCTCTTTGCCCAGGTACAGCAGGGCGCTCTCCCAGCCCCTGACCCGGAGCTCGCGGCTGAGATGTACGAGAGGGGCCGGGCCGTCCTTCGGGAGGCTGGCTTCCGCCAGTATGAGGTCTCCAACTTTGCCCGGAATGTGAGTCCTGGGGCTGATGGCTGGAGGCGGAGCATGGGCAGACAGCGGTGTTACTGGGGCATTGTGACCTTCTGAAGAGAAGGATCCCGACTGGGCACTCTCAGACCTGAGATGGTGGGACATTCTAACCTGGGGCCCCTTACCTGAGCAGAAACGGGCCTGCCCTCTTCACTCTGCACTATTTCCTCCTCCCCGCAGGGGGCGCTCAGTACACACAATTGGACTTACTGGCAGTGTGGTCAGTACCTTGGCATTGGGCCTGGTGAGTCCCGTCAGCTACAGAAAGGATGACTCAGGAGAGGAATGTCGTGGCTGTGAGAACTTGGGCCACATTAACCTTTCCAGGCCTCTATTTTCTCATATGTAAAATGTGGCAAAAAGTAATATCTCCCTGTAGAACTGTTGAGCATGAATAATAAGGGGTTTGATGTCACGCCTTGCACTGCGGTTCTCAGCCTTTGGTGTGTGAGAGAACCTCCTAGAGGGCTTGTTAAAACCCAGGCTGCTGGGCCCCACCTCCAGAATTTGCAATTGGACAGGGCTGGAGGAGAGCCTAAGAATTTACATGTCAGTATTTTAGGATAGATGATAAAAAGAAAAAAAAGGGAGGGGGTGGTGTCACGTGCCTCTAATCCACGCTACTTGGGAAGCTGAGGTGGGAAGAGCGCTTGAGCCCAGGGGTCCAAGACCAGCCTGACAGCATAGTGAGACCCCATCTCAAAGAAAAAAACCAAAAGAAAAGAATTTACATTTCTAGCCTGTTAGAGGCAGTTGCTCCAGGGACCACGTGATTTAAATCTGGTGAGCACATAGTATTAGCAGCTGCTAATGTGGGGATGGGTGTTGATGTTGTCAGGGGCCCACGGGCGATTCATGCCCCAGGGGGCTGGAGGCCACACCCGGGAGGCTCGGATCCAGACATTGGAGCCTGACAACTGGATGAAGGAGGTGATGCGGTTTGGCCATGGCACCCGGAAGCGTGTGCCCCTGGGCAGGCTGGAGCTGTGAGCATCCAAGGGCACAGGTCTCCCCCAGGGGCCCCACTCCCCAGAACCACCTCCACCTGTACTTCTTTTATTTCCTGGCTTGCCCTGGCCCCTGCCCTGCCACATACTGCCTGGTCCCTGTTAGCCGCCTCTAAATGCATCCCAGGGTAGAATGTGAAGAACGGGAGGAGCACGGGCCTCCTCTCCAAGACTCCTTGATGATTTTTCTTTGAGGCTGGAGGAAGTTTTGGCCCTGGGGCTACGCACTGATGTGGGGATCACTCACCAGGTAAGGAGTTGGGATTCTTGCACATCACTCCCTCCTAAGTCTTGCAGAATCAATTCCCCCTCCCTACCACCCCCCCCACACACATACATATACACCTCTAGTTCCTGTGGGATTGGCAGCTAGAAGTGGGGCCTGGGTCTAGCTGAGGCCCGATGGGCATAAGCAGTGGGCAGTGTGGTGCATAGCTAAGAACCCTAGACCAGGGCTGCAGAGACCCAAGTTCCAGGCCCCATTCTACCGCAGCCTTGGACACAAACCTTCCACATCTCTGAATCTCAATTTTCTGAGCTGTGTGAAGCAATGGATAGATAAAGGGTTTCCAAATGTTTTTAAGGAGCACTGAGACCTTTCATGGGAAGCACAGTAGATAACGATCAAGCAAACCCAGAGCTGCTCTGGATAAAGTCAGAGCCATAAAGCCCTGGCTGGGGGTGGCTGAGAGGGGAGGAAAGAGAGGGGGAATAGAGGAAGGCCTGGCTTGGCTGGAAGCTGGGTTCCGGCCTCAGTGGAACAGGTGTGAAAGTGCTCACCTCCCTGCTGGCCCACTGGTCTGGTTCTGGTTTCATGCATGTCAGCTGCTGAAATCTCCATACTGGAGCGGCCCCTCCCCCATCTCTCACCACCACCCATCCACATGGCCTGGAATAGCCAGGCCAGCTCCCCACCTCAGACCCTCTGGCTTCCCCAGCACTGGGAGCAGTTTGAGCCCCAGCTGACCCTGTGGGACATGTTTGGAGCGAACAAGGAGGTGCAGGAGCTGCTGGAGCGGGGCCTACTGCAGCTGGATCACAGGTGTGTTGGGGGTGCTGGGCAGAGGGGGCTGAGGTATCCCAGGGAGCCCTGACTACAGCTTCACAGACCCAGGAGAAGTAAGAAAGACTGGGGCCTGTGGGTGCTGGGGACTTTGGCCCTGGTGGGGGATGGACTTGAAATTGGTAAGATGAAGTAGTCACCTTTGGGCCTCTTGGTTTTCCAGGGGTCTTCGGTGTTCCTGGAAGGGTCTGGCTGTGCTGGACTCTCTCTTGCTGACCCTCCTGCCTCAGCTCCAAGAGGCCTGGCAGCAGAGAGCCCCCTCCCCCGTACCAGGAGGATGACCAGATGTTCCTGTGTTCCAGGGTAATGCCAGGTGGGCTTTGAGGGCTGGGTCGGCCCTGTCTCTGCTCCATGTGGCCATTGTCCAGCCCTGGCATCCCCAGGGGAATGGCAGCAGTGAGGTAGATGGGAGGACATTTCTGGTCCGGGAGCTTGCATCCCATTCAGCATCTCCGGACATGTGTTCCATGGCTGGGAGTTGCTTACCACCCACGTCAGCTTCTGTTTACCTTTTGACATCAACGAATGAACAGTGTTTGGAAATCTTTCTACAGGCAGTTACCTCCCGAGGAGAAGCCTTCCTTACTTTGGAGTAAGGTCCTAAGACAGCTGGACGAATCAGGAAAACCATGTCCCCTCTAGGTATTATTAATATACGCAGGAAGGATCTACTGTAGGAATGAAGTATTTATAAAACCATTGAAAGGGACAGAGAAGTGAAAATTGGAGAAAGCCAGCAGCAACTGTCAGAAACGAGCAACGTGCAGGAGTCACAGAAGACTCCTGCTGATGGTCTCAGCTTCCAGCAGCACAAAAGCAGGTGATGTACAGGAAAATGCTCAGAAGATGCTGCAGAACCTCATGCCTACTGCCTGCCATGGCTGGAAAAGGAATCGTGGCTTCTAGAAGTGCCTCTCATTAGTGGACTTTAAAGCAAATCCTGGCGGGCAGGAAATGCTGAGGAATATAGTTCTCAGGCTTCAAGCCTCGACCGTAAGGGAGAGAACACAGAAGGACTTGATGTATGCTGGTGGGTCCATGTGTGTCCAGCACAGCAGCCTGCTGGACTCTGAGGACTGGGAAAGATCAGAGCAAGCCTTGCCTCATCTTTGGGCAACTGGAATATGTTTGGGGTGACAGGAGCCACACAGACTCTCCTCAGTCCCCTCACCCACTCCCTTCCCCCTGTGTCTTTCCCTTGAGAGTGAAGGCGGGTGGAGTTGACCAGAGAAAGTGGAGAGAATTCGGGAAAGACCCAAAGTGTTTGTAATTCTTCTTTGTCCTTTTACCTACAGAGATAGTCACATGGTTCTACTTAAATAGCCTAATAATCACATCTGGAGCCTGCATTGACTGTGGTCCTCACCTTTGTCTGAGCTCCTTCTTAGAGCGCAGAATCCTGATTTTGGGACTAGAAGCTTAGTCTAGGGTCCTTCCTCCACTCCCTACATTTCATTTTGAAAGATTTCAGACCTACAGAAAAGATGAAAGGATAGTTCAGTGGAGACCTTATATTCTTTGTCTACTATGTATCTGGAAAGTCTGGAAATAGGCAAATTTTCATAATGCCATCAGGGACATCTTCAATCTATTGAAAAATATGATAGGCCAGACAGGGTGTCTCACGTCTGTAATCCCAGCACTTTGGGAGGCTGAGATGGGAGAATCACTTGAGCCAAAGAGTTTGAGACCAGCCTGGGCAACATAGCAAAACTCTGTCTTTAAAAAAATTAAAAAATAAAGTGTTTCCAGACTCTGTGGTCACCCTATAGATTCATGAATTGTTAATTTTTGGCCACATTTATATCATCTTTAGATGGATATGTGTGTATAATTTTTTGACTGAATAATTAAAAAGTTGTAGACATCAGGCTGGGCACAGTGGCTCATGCCTGTAATCCCAGCACTTAGGGAAACAGGTGGGCAGATCACTTGAGGTCAGGAGCTCAAGACCTGCCTGGCCGACATGGTGAAACCCCATCTCTACCAAAAAAATACATAAGTCAGCCAGGCGTGATCGCATGCACCTGTAGTCCCAGCTTCCTGGGAGGCTTAGCAGGAGAATCACTTGAACCTGGGAGGTGGAGGTTGACAGCAAGCCGAGATCATGCCACTGCACTCCAGTCTGGGCTACAGAGCAAGACTCCGTCTCAAAATAAATAAATTCATTAACCACATACAATCATTATAGATAGTTTTAGTCTTTCTTAGAAAAGAGCTTTCCATTTTTTGAAGGGCTGATACTTTTTGGGAGGCAGGGACAGGACCTTGCTGTGTCGCCAAAGCTGGAATGCCATGGCATGACCACAACTCACTGTAGTTGTGACCTCTCAGGTTCAAGTGGTCCTCCCACCTCAGCCTCCCAAGTAGCTGAGACTACAGGTGTGCATCACCATGCCTGGATAATTTTTTAATTTTTTGTAGAGCCGGGCGCGGTGGCTCATGCCTGTAATCCCAGCACTTTGGGAGGCCGAGGCGGGTGGATCACAAGGTCAAGAGATCGAGACCATCCTGGTCAACATGGTGAAACCCCGTCTCTACTAAAAATACAAAAAATCAGCTGGGCATGGTGGCACGTGCCTGTAATCCCAGCTACTCGGGAGGCTGAGGCAGGAGAATTGCCGGAACCCAGGAGGCGGAGGCTGCGGTGAGCCGAGATCATGCCATTGCACTCCAGCCTGGGTAACGGGAGCGAAACTCCGTCTCAAAAAAAAATTTTTTTTTTGTAGAGATAGGGTCTCCTTATATTTCCCAGGCTGGTCTCAAACTCCTGGGCTCAAGTGATCCTTCCATCTCAGCTCCCAAAGTGCTGGGATACAGATGTGAGCCACTGTGACTGATGAAGGGCTGATACTCTTAACCTGGACTTGGTGTGTTGTATGTGTGAGACAGAGTGGGAGGGGCATCTTCCTGGGAAGAGGTTCCATCAGTTTCATACCTTATGTCACAGGGTACCATGATGCCAGAAGTAATCTAGTACCACTGCCAAATGAGGCATGCTAAGCTCAGCCTCTAGCTGGGTGACTAAAGATGGGGCCTCCCCACCTCTCAGGTAGGCACATACATTTCCCATGTGCCCAGTGGGTGTGAATATCCGTCCTTCTTTGACCCTGTGGTAACATGGTAAGTGTTACTACCTCTCCTTTATTCATGAAATATTAAGCAAGCACGAATGGTGTGCCAGGGGCTGCACTGGGCATGCAGAGAGGAACAAGACCTGTCCTGGCCCTCGAGGAACTCGCTGCCAGGTTGATAGATGTGTAAAGAGATTAATTCCAGACTTGTCAGTCAAGGTATGCAGGCAGGTCATGGGAGCCAGGGGCACATTTGGTTCTGAGGGGCTAGGAGCAGGACAGGGGATACCATTTTCTTACTACCTCCATTGCCCCTGCTGCCCTGGAAAGCCTGGCCCTGGGGCAGCCTGTGGGGTGACCCGTGCTGCTTGGGGAGCTGCTTCCTGAGACTTCCTCTGATCTTGACATTCAAGAAGCGAGCACGGGGCCGAGGCAGGTGCACCATCAGATAACCTGGGACCGCTCAGGTTTCTCCCCGCTGCCAGGGCTTGTGCCACCTGAGATGTCCAGGCCTCCCTGCTGGGACACCTCATGAGACCTGTGCAGAGGAGCTGGGTGGAAGCCAGGGCCAAGTAGGGGTGGCACAGATCACCTTCTGTGACTCAGTCTGGTCTTACCCTCACCAGATGAATCAGAAGCTCCTGGAGGTAGAGCCCGGGAATCTAGTTTTTCAATGTTTGTACATGGTCCTAATGATCATTCCCTTTTGGGAACCCCTGATTACAGTCATTTCTTGCCTTCCATCCCAGGAGGCTGGGGCAGGAGGAAAGGGAGACATAGCTATTTCCAGTGTCCCATGACAAAGTAGGAAGAGGGTCCTTCATTTCAGGTCCCAGCCCTTGCACGGCTCATCCGTCAGGGGGCTTCTCCTCCCCCATTGTGGGACCTGTTGTCATCTTTTCACCTGCCTTACATGGACACAAGTAAAAGGGGTGAACAACCCCCTTGGTGATGAAGTTGGGGACGTATGGTACGTGTGTGGTTACAGCTTGAAGCACCAAACCTTCTGCATGCAGGTAGAGCACCGATCATTTGAAAGCCCATGAGCCACCCCACCCCATTGCTGAGCAGTGTGAAGTAGACAGGACAGCTGTTTTTGTTTCCATTTTACAAAGAGACGCACTCATAGAGGTTCCCTAACTTGACTCAAGTCCTATAGGCAGTAAGTAGAAGATCTGGCATAACACTTCTGGGCATCCAGAAGTTTCTGTCCCATCACTGTTTTATCCTTGTTGTAGGTCAAGGTCAAGTGGCTTGCCTCTTAAATTAGGCAGAGTCCTGACCTCTCAAATTTGGGGGTGGGGAGGGTGAGAGTCTCACTGTGTCTCCCAGGCTGGAGTGCAATGTTATGATCACAACTCACTGCAGCCTCAAACTCCCAGGCTCAAGTGATCCTCCCACATCAGCTCTCCAGTCCCATGTAGCTGGCATCATGCCTGTGAGAACACTCATCTCTCCTCTCACCCCCTTCTGCGAAGAAAAGAATTTTTAATAATAGAATGAAATAACTTGTGTGGTAGATTGTATTATGTCCAAAGCATTTGCTACCCCTCCTTGGCACGCACCTCACCTGAGGGCCTCGGGAGGATTATATGCCCCGACCTCGTTGAGTCTGGAAGGGCCATGAAACTTGCCTGGCACTAACCAGTGCCAGGTGGGTGGTCCATCAGCTGTCTGTTGCAGTGACCTGCAATGTCCACACGGAGACTGTTTTGTCAGCCCAGATCCCAGGGTAAAGAAGCTGGTCAGAGCAGCCAGCCATAAGAGACATGAACAGCAGAGAGAAACGAACCTCTGCCATTGTAGACCAGTAGGCTTTCCAGTTGGTGCTGCGCCGGAATTGAGACTAAACTGCCTGATTCAGTTTGTAATCCCACCATTCAAAGATTAGCCATTGTTAAGATTCTGGCATATAACTTAGCAGAAATTCTGATATACAAATGAATGTATTTAGATACACAATCTTACAAAAATGGGATGATAGACATCTTACTTTGGAGCTTTCTTGTCTTATCTAACGTGCAGTGAGTGTCTTTCTATGGTAAATTTGTATCTATATCCAGTTTTTCAGTGTTGGGATCACAGCGTGTCTCCATTGTTACTAATGCATGGTTATGCCAAAAACTGTAGTTTTCCCAGTTTCTTTTCTTTCCTTTCTTTCTTTTTTTGACATCTCTGTCACCGAGGCTAGAGTGGAGTGCACGGTCACAGCCCACTGCAGCCTCAACCTCCTGGGCTCAAGCAATCTTTCCACCTTAGCCTCGTGAGTAGCTGGAACCATCACACGCAGCTAATTTTTAAAGTTTTGTAGAGACAGGTTTCTGCCACGTGACCCAGGTTGCTTTTGAACTGCTGAGCTCAAGCAATCCTCCCGCCTTGGCCTCCCAAAGTGCTGGGATCACTGGGGCTACAGGTCTGAGCCACCACTCTCAGCCTCCAGTTTCTTTTTTTTCTTTCTTTCTTTTTTTAAGACAGAGTAGTGCTCTGTCACCTAGACTGGAGTGCAATGGTGCGATCTTGGCTCACTGCAACCTCTGTCTCCCCAGGTTCAAACAATTCAACATCAACCTCCCAGGCTCAAGTGATCCTCCCACCTCAGTTCTCCACCCCTTTGTAGCTGATACTACAGATGCACACCACAATACCCAGCTAATTTTTAATTTTTTTTTTCTTTGAGACAGAGTCTCACTCTGTCACCCAGGCTGTAGTGCAGTGGCACAATCTCGGCTCACTGCAACCTCTGCCTCCCAGGTTCAAGTGATTCTCCTGCCTCACCTCCTCAGTAGCTGGGACTACAGGTATGCACCACCACTCCCAGCTACTTTTTGTATTTTTAGTAGAGAGAGGGTTTCACCATGTTGGTCAGGCCGGTACTGACCTCGTGATCCACCTGCCTCAGGCTCCCAAAGTGCTGGGATTACGGGCATGAGCCACTGTACCTGGCTAATTTTTAAATTTTTTACAGAGATGCAGTCTCATTATGTTTCCCAGGCTGGTCTTGAACTCCTGGCTTCAAGTGATCCACTCACCTCAGTCTCCCAAAATATTGGGATCACAGGCATGAGCCACTGTGCCCAGCTTAATGTTTGATAAATATAAACTCTTTAAGTTATTGCATATATATATATGTATATATATATACTCTGTGATGAACATGTTATGTAAATATTTTTATACACTGGTTTGATCATTTTCTTAGGTTTAGGATAAATCCCAAGAAGTGGATTTGCTGACTCTGAGGATTTGCACATTCATTGTTTGGATACACAATGCCA